AAGTTGAAATTCTTTTAAATGTCAGTAATGCACAATTTAACATACTTTCATCAAATTATTGCATATAGTGAACTGATCTCGGTAACGTATAGATGTGATTAAAAGTTCTTTGCACCCGGCAACATTCTTCATATGAATGTGATGTTTGCGAATTTATAATCAGTCCTAGCTATACGCACCAGATAATTTTGCAGTTTTGCACGATATCCCCATGAATGCGACATACCATGAAAGAAGTAGCCGGAAGAGAAGAAAAATGCGCATTCCCTCAGCAGCAAAAATATGTTAATATTCGTTTAGATCAATATTTAATAATAATAAAAAAATATCTAAAAAGACCATTAACGCATTTAATAATCTTAAATAGAAAAATATATTGAAGGAAAAAGGCTGACTGTTCTCTCTTTTCGTAAAATAAAATAAACCGTCAAAATAAATTTTCCTTTTCGCGAGGATAAAACAGTTGTTAAAATACGTGTTGTATGTAAAAGATAATGATTTTACTTTTCTTTTTGCCACGACAAAAGATTGAGAAACGTTAAAGATTTATCTCGCTGACGACAGTCCGTCTCCAGCGCAAAGATGAAGACATCTGATTGTTGCGTTAAGTGGTTTTGGCCTGCTTATCAGTGGGATCAAAATGCTTCCGTAGATCCTGCCAACATTTATAGTAGTCGTTGTCCAGCTTGTTGCAAAGCTTAGCGGCCCATTCTGTCACGGCCATGCCATACGAGGTCTCGAACATAAACGCCTGCGTATCGTCGGCGATCCGTTCTGGCATCAGCTCGTTCTTGGACGCGATCTCAAAACACTGTACATCAGGACCGTGCGGAGTCATAATAGAATGCAATGAAGCACCACCGGCAGAGAAACCGTCCTCCTTTGCCTCGTATCGACCCTTTATTAACCCCATAAACTCGCTCATACAGTTTCCTAAAAATTTAACAGCAAAATTTCAGGTTTGTTGCTTTCAGAAATGTCTATAAATTGCGCTGTATAAATTAATAAAAAAAAAATTGAAACAAAAATATAATTGTCATTGTCATTAAAAGCATTAGAAAAAGATCAATTGTTTGTTTTATTTTCAATTTTCAATCATAAAAGATGTAAAATGTTTTTATCATTATTTTTCATATTTTTGTGAATTGTAAGAATTAAATAAGCAAAAAAAAAAATTAAATAACTTTTTATATAATTTTTACATTTCTAGAATAATTCAATTACGAATAGAGAAAAAGGTACCATAGTAAATAAATCATTTTATTTAAATAATAATATATGTAAATAATATAATATCCATAAATAATAGAACGTTTAATAATATAACACCAAGGTTGAGCATAGATCAACATAAATTATATATAGTATTTAAAAGGATACTAAAAAAATAACTATATACCAGCTCATTATCATTACATGTTATCTGTTTCAAATTATCTAGTCGAATTTCTAAAGAAACCGCTACCTTACCGTTGACTGCATCAACCGTGTAAATTAATTCTGCAGAATATTCGCATCTTGTTAAAAGAAATAATTACTGGAACGTATCAATGTACTCTTGAACCCCCGACAAAATTCTACGTCCAAATAACAGGAACGATTTGACTTCAGAGATATCGGACACTCGAACAAAATTTCTCGCAAGATATGTAATATTCACTTTGCATATGTTAACGAACGCCGAGTAAAGCGTTTATGATCCATAATGAACCGACTTTAGTCAATGTTATTCCTTATCGTTGACGGATATATCACCGACAAGTCGATATGCGTATACGAGCATGTAGACGTCACGAGATCATGCGATCGCGAATTCAACGAGACCGGCCGGATCTGCAATGGAAATTACACGCACATTTTGCATATTATCGCTCTCCACGCGCCGCCGACTTATTCATTAACGTGGAGAATGGCCCGCATTGAACACGCAGCTATACTGGTTATCAAATCTCGGAGAAAGCAGCGAACGGCTACTCTTACTGGTACTCAAACGTATTCCGAGATACGACGTATTGCGCATAGCCTCGTTTACGTTGTTGCATAGTTTCAAATCAGCGAAAATAAAATTGTGTAAATAAGAAGAATGCAACACCCTCCTACGTAAGGAAAACTTGGAAAATTACTCCGTACTCCAGGAATTATGGAGGCGCGAGACATGAAACTAGCGACAATGTGGAACTATGAGGTAAACGGCTTGTACTAAAAAACTAAAACAAAAGTACAAATATTTGATTTAAAAAAAATTCACTAAAAATACAACCAGCTATTTGTAAAATTAAAATTATTATTTAAAAAGTTAGCTTTAGCTAAGAATTATTCGTTAAATTTTATTTCTTGAGTTACTTTAATATTGCCGATATGATATATATATATATATACGCTTTCGATACTCACTTTCGATATAATAAACATAACAATTATTCTTTCCGCTTATTTGTGACATTAAATGACAAGACGTTGTTTTTAATAAAAAACCTCGATAGTCAGTATTAATTTTACGAACGGAAATACTATCACGCGTGTAATCTGCTGTCTTTAACGGCTGCTCTGATCGATCCTATAATTTTGCACGTGCGTAACTTAAATCCCATACAACGAAATGGACATTCAACATTTCGATAATAGCCGCTTCTCGTAGCACCTAATTATTAAACTTGTAAGGATGCGTCCTCGTCGATAGGCATCGTGCGTACGTGCGTCTTTCTCTTTGCACGCGATGGACTTTCCCAACAGGAGAGCGCGATAATGCAGCGAAATACAACTGCGACGACAAGGACGATCGCGACGATCGAACGAAAGTGGCCCGTCCCGTCTCGTCATAATCGATCGGATCGGAATCGCAGTGACAGGAAATCGGTGAAACGACCTGTCGGAGAAAGAGACATTGTGCCGATCGGCCGCCGGGAAAAATTTCGAGTTTTCTCCGAGCAACTCGGTTGCACAATTTTCAGAAGCGCTCTTCCGGAACGAAGATGCCACGGAGTCGAGTTCGACTAGCACTCGCTCGAACTCTTGTCGCGTGTAATCGACCCCATGAGACCGGTGAATGACAGGTAAAAAGCCGCAGAATCCGCAATTTCTCGCAGATATACCGTGTCCAATGCGTCATGGATCGACGGACTTTGATCATTAAATTGCTGTCGAATGGTTAGTAAGCGATTCAAAGATCCAAAAGATCTAAAGGAGATATAAAAAAACATCTCTATTCAAAGCATCTTGAATTTAATAAATTTTATTTAACTTAACTAATTTTAATATCTAATGTTTAATTTTGTTTTCTACAATTTTTAACACATTTCCATAAAAATCCAGAAAAATACTTGTCAAACTTGTATTTTTCCCTTCTTAAATGTAATTTAAACAAACGACTTGAAATTATAGCAATCTTCAAATAATATTTCATCTTGTTAAACATCATTGACACGTAATTTGATTTCTGACAATTTTAGACATATTTCCATAATTCAGAATACTTGTCAAACTTATATTTTTTTTTTGCTTAAATGTAAATTTAATCGAATTTAATGAAATTATAGCAATTAAATAAATTCAAGGAAATTATAGCAATTTTCAAATAATGCTTTATCTTGTTAACATCATTGGCATACGATTTGATTTTCTTTGCATCAAATAGTGTGAAAAGTAGTTTGCACAAGTTAACTTCATCTTTGCTTCGGCAAACATAAAAGGAATATACTTTCTACATAGGAATATACTTACTATGATAGTAAGGGGGTCGGAAAGTGTGCTCCTGCACGGACCATCGAGGTGGAAAGATCACGAAATCGGCTGCGGCAGTTCCAGGCTTGTTAGTGGGACATGTTAACACGGTAAAGATAGACGGATCCTGCAAATTAATTAAATCACTTATCCCAAAAATAATCATTGAATTTGAAAAATCTGATAAGCATATAAAAGAATAAGCGTATAAAACATCTGATAAGCGTGTAAAAGAATCGAAAATTGTGTATACACAACTGTTTGCCAAAATAAATATTGAAAGAGTTAAGAAAAAAAAACAAAAAAGGTGAAGAAAATTAAGAAAAAAACAAACTTACTAGTGAAGATAATTTTCAATTATTTGACAAGCTTTTTTTCTCAAATAATCAATTTTCTCAAATAATCAATTTTCTCAAATAATTAATTTTCTCAATAAAAATATTTTATATATGATACTTTGGTTGGCAATTTATAGAAACTTTTTTTTTAATCTTAAAACTTTGTTAGATAACTATGTTTACGATAGTGTTTACTCACGCAGTGATCAAAGGAGACGGAATTGATGACCATGAACCTATCGAGATCATATTTGTAAGGCACGTAATTGCCGTGCCAGGCGACCACATCGAAGGGACTGTGACCTTGCTTAGTTACAAACAACTTTCCCTGATATTTACATACGATCTCGTAATCGATCTCGCGATCCTCGTACCAAGCCACCGGCGTCTGAAAGTCTCTCGGATTCGCCAGGCCATTCGCCCCTGCGCATTAGCCCCGCTCATTAACCCATTCATTAAAGAAGCATTAATTTATCAAATCTTCCTGATGAAACATATTTAAGTTTTCAACGTCGACATGGCCGCACTATTATTTTTCAACAGACTTTACGTCGAAAATGAAATGAGAATTTAATCTACCTTTAACGTCGAGAGAGTTGATTTCGGAGATTAATATTTCTAAGTTTCTAAAAAATATTAAGTGTAAGTAATAATTAAGTTACCTATCGGTCCCAATTCTGGCAGCTGGAAGTGATTGTCGAAAACCTCAAGGATATAACCCCTGGACGGGCCGAAGACGGTCACAGAAAATCTCATCCCCTGCTGAATGACGCATATCTCGTTCGGCTCGCATCGCATCTTACCGAACTCGGTGATAATTTGCAAAGCGCCTAATTGTGGCACTGCAAACCCGAAATAAAATTTAGTTGATACATATTTTTCTCTTTAAGAAAAAGTAATTCCGCCCTCTTACTACTTACCGATAAGAAAATCACCATCAGCATTGTAGGAAGCCCTATCCTTCATAGAAGCATTGCATAAGTACACGTGTACTGCAACACCCTGGCGCATCTTGGGATCGCCGGCACCGCAGAGAGTGTGAAGACCCTCGATAAAGTCGACTTCGGGATCCCGTCGACTTGGAACGTCGAAAATCTTCCATCTTAACTAAAATATGAATAGTCTTTAGCTTTATAGAAGCTAATCTTTTAAGTCTCCGTTAATTAATTAAAGAGTGCAGTGCAATAAAAATCTAACTTGTTTTTCTATGATTATAAAAAGATCGGTAAAAAGGGAGAGAATAAAAAAAAAAATTGAAAAACTAGATTTAAATTAATCACTCAATTAGATCATTATAGCGTTGAAGTTTTTAATTTGATATTATGGAAGTTTACCTGGTTTGGATTGGGATGGGTCTCGTTCCAATTGCTTTTTACAAAAGATTCGGCACCACAAGCTCTAGTGAAAGATTTGAACGGACTGTGAACGACGGATGGTCTCATTCGATATAGCCATGATCTTTTATTTTGACTTCTCGGAACTAAGAAGTGAAAATAATAAAAAAATAAATAAAAATTTATTGAACTCAATTCAACAATGCAATGATAAAGGATCCAAGTAACGACATTTATTACATTCACAGTATCTTAATATCTTTTTATCAAAAACTGATAAAGTGACAAGTTAAAGATTCAAGACAATCACTCTCTATTTAATGTAATAAAATGTATCATTTTTAAGATAAAAAATAAATTTTTTTATATATTTCGTTATTTAAAATTTATAATTTTAAGTTATCTATTCAAAATTTTGATAATTTACTAGATGATTTTTAACAAGTCATTATTTTTAAGTTTTAAATTTAGACTGATCATTTGACAGCTACATAAGTAGAAGAGACATAAAAATCAAGTCGAAACATATAATCAAAATACGAAATATTTTACAAAACAGGTTGTCAAAAATATTGAAAGGATATTGCAAGTTAATGTAATTTTATTCACCGGTGAACGCTGTGCCTGACAATTGTTCGGCATAAAGACCGTATGGACACTTCTGTGGATTGTTCTGTCCAATGGGAAGTGCTCCTGGACAACGCTCATCTTCGCTGGAGAATTCACAGCCAAATCCCGTAAGATACTAAAAGATACTTCTCGATAATACGCTATTTTCTTCCCATTAAACATTAACACAAATTTTAAACAAAATTATGTGAAAAATTCTGGACTATTAAAAAATGCCATTTAAAAATTATTTAAGTAAAAATAATTTTCAATTATTACTTCCGCGATAAAAAGAAAATTTTTCTTTAGCAATGTTACAAAAAGAAAAATATCTTTTAAACAGAGCAACACTGAAATCCTCCAAAAAGTCGGTATATCAAAATGGACGGTTTCGCTACCTTGAGCTCGTCTTTCATGACGTTAGTGATTCTTCTCTTTGGTAACACGGCGTTTCTTTTCTTGATGTAAAATACGGAGATTTCCGCGGCACTCTCTCGTTTTATATAAATGTGGTCGTCCTTAGACGACGCAATGACGACGAGAGATTGGTATTATGCAAAAAACATGTTTATTCACTTCTGGACCAATCGGACACGACTATCCATGTAGGCACGGCCACGTTTAATAGGCACGGCCGTCTCTGATAACCAGTCAAAGAGCCAGAAATTCCACATCACGTCATAGAATTTATCGTCGAGCCTCTGGCGGCCAAGACGAGCCTCTAATAACGACACCAAGCTCATCGTTTGATATCGAACCGTGTGAACCATATTCAAATCAGTTTCCAACACCGTCAGATATTTTCCACGAGAATGTCTAAGATGAATCTTGATTTCGTCGTTTTGTTTCTTAAAGTTAAGCCTTGAATTTCTCACACAATGAGGATCTATTAAATAATAGTATTTTCCCTTTAATATTTTCTCTATTATCTCCATATATCTTTATTTCATACTTAAATTAAAATTAGAATTATCAATCTGACTATGATAATGTTTGCTAATAATTCGAATATTATAATGTTTCCAATATTATTCTCAAGAAAAAAGGAATAAATTTTTTACATAGATTTTTCAGATTTTTTCGCGGTGTGTCTGCATTTGCATAATGATGCTCGATTGTGTTTATTGAAAATACTCTTATATCTTTAAGGAAAATCTACGATTTATTATGAGCAGAAAAGGCGTGTATTGTCAAACTATAGATAGATGTTTTGTTGGTTGACTACATCATTTAAAAATTTATAACTTGACTTGTTTGTAACACTCATATCGTTTCAAAGAATGCGAACACGTATTTTATGACATTTACATAGTTTTTTTAAATTAATTCATGATAATGATGAAATGATGATAATTATTTTATGATTTTTAATTATTTATTATTATTATTATTATTCTATGATTACATCATATAAATAATCTTTAAAATTTTAATTAATTAACCCGAATTTAATTCTACAAATAGATTTTTTCTATATGATGTCATAACTTTGTATACAATTACAAATATAAAATATTATTACTACATATATAAAACTTAAAAAGTAGGATGTGATTTAAATGTTAAAAATAAAGATAAGAAATACTAAGGATTATTAAAAAATATACATTTATTCCAAATATCGATAATAATAACGACCGCTCCAATTTCTTCCTTTTAACATAACTTATCTCACAGATTCATGAAGATTACGCGATCTCAGTTTTCATATCTCAGTTCTGATAAGCGAATAGCAGTGTTGTAGTTTAACAGAAATTCGTTTCGTTTCTCGTTGAAATTGATCACGTTGCCACATCTCCGAAATAGCATTTCTAATGCTGTATGCACGCGCTCGTCAGAGAAGATGCTACATACTTATCTAATCGTTTTCACCTTGACGGTTATCGGTTATCGCGGATAGTTTGTTGACCGCGAGAAAGTTTTGCGTCACGCCGAACGAGTACGCCTCCTTGCACCTTTGGCGTAATTATAAGTGAATTTCTATCAATCATAATTACAACGAAGACGTTTGTTACACCGCGTTCCAGATGAAACTGCAGGAACAGTGGTAAAGAGTATCATTTCAATTCAAGATCGTTAACTGTTATTATTGGCAATCTTGCAACACTTTCTCGTAACTATTTAATAATATAATACAATTGTAGTAATTAATACAAATAAAATAAAATAAAAGTCGACGTCTTCTATCGCATATAATAAAGCTTTTTTGTATTTAAAACATAAAACAAATTTTATATATGTACATACCATGTTTGTAATATTCTGTTAATACGTATTAAATTATATTTACATTATTTAACAATAAACGACATTCGTATAACAGTTCGGACGTAAACTCGCTCGAAAAGCGCAATTGCAATGCAGAAAATAACAGTCACTATAACCGAGGCATTTGTCATAATTGCGCTCCATATTCTCGGACTTTCACCATGCGGAGGATCAGTCATTTACTGATGGCATATAATGACGAGTCGATCACGTTCGCTTAGAAAAGTCTTCGGTTTTTTGTACCGCGAACAGGATCGAATTATCGGTGTGTTTTTACGTGTCGATCTCGATATTATTATTATGAACGATCGAATGGAAATCGCCGCCGCTATAATTAAAACGCATGGTGGATTTGCATATGATCACGCGTTGTTTTTGCGAGCGACACGACGCACGATTGCGAGAAAAAAAAAGAGGAATCTAATTGCAGCTTTTACCGCAAACAACTTTGCAATTCGCGGTTGCATCGCGAATAAATCGACGATGGTGAAGGAGCGTGACTCACAATCTTAGATCACGGCAAGACAAATAGAACAATTCGCGAAAATGCCACGCTAAAGCAATTGCAGGACAACTGCCTTGCAATATAAAAAACAATTTGAGATATTATATAAATATTACACATTAACATTACATCATGCAAATTTTGTTAACAAGCTAGACGAGAGTCTAGACTCTCGCTAGACTCTCGTCTAGCTTGTTAACAAAATTTGCATGACCTGTACTCATTTGCTAATTGCAGCAATTTAATATAATAATATATATTATATGTAATGTAATGTTAATGTGTAATATTTATATAATATCTCAAATTTAGTGTGATTTACGTAATTAACGTTTGTTTATTCATCTATCCGTATTTGTACACGTCAGTTTGATCACCAGGTGTTACTTATACATTTTGCAAAAATGAATTCCGATATGCATAAAAAACGATGGAAAATTCTACTGCACTTTGTGCGTTGCGCAATACTGATCCAACTGGTTTTCAAACTGACAAAAATCGAGGTGACAGTTAAGGTATAAAGTTTTTTTTTGATAAGAGACCAACTACGTATCGAGAAGTGCTGAATTCTCGAGGCACTGTCGACGTCAACTCGGAACTCTACTCAAACTAGTTTTATTTTGGTCGCGGAAAATACAGAGTTATAGAAAAGCTAATATATGTTAAAACTGATTTCACAGATGATTTAACAACGTTAAATTTAATAAATTATAAATTTCTTGATTGCATGTCCGTTAATTTCACCGAACCAGTGACATTTTGTCGAATTCCAAGTGAATTAAAAATCCCAATGTTGCTTAAAAATTAATAAAAATATAATTAAAAACTTTAGAATTGATGATGAATGAATTAATATCTTTACAAGTCATATAGACATGTAATAATTTTAAATTTCTTATTACGTCAATTTTATATAAATAATAAAAAGCAATAACCTTGACATTTCTTTGCCATGCTCGAACTAATTCCGTTTGATTAATCGGCCGCAAAAGGAGAAAATATAGTAATCCGCTTTTATTAAAAAGAAATGATGAAAGGAAATGACGCACATTGATTGACGCTACCTTTCCTCACGTAGAATTTAAAATTGCTATTTATTCTATAATATATCATTCGGAGGTATTATTCGCAGAAATTATGCGGCAGTTTTACGAACGAGTCTCAATTCATAGACACTCGTGAATAGAGTGATCATGGAATTCGCGATCGTTCGGCGCGAGACTCGGCTGCGATGCCTGAAAGAAGAGACGCGAACTCGGCGTCACAGTAGCAGGGAATCATCGTCTTTACAGTTAGATATAGTGGGATATCGCTCGAGGAGGAGGCGAGAAATTCTCCTCCTGGTGGGGGATGATAAGGACGCCTCTAAGAGAAGAAAGAGCGGTGCCACCTCGCGGCGGCGACGACTTCTCTCTTCCATCTCTCCCTGCTCGAGAGGGGACTTCCTTTTGCATCTCGGGAGAGAGAACTAACGGGGAATGCAGATGCACACCTGAAGAAAAAGAACCCGAGCCCGCTCGTGCACGCTTTCTAGGTCGCGCTTACTTTTCAAGGAGACGTGCATCGTCCTCTCGTCGATCTAATAAAGAAGCAAACGAGGATGAATGCTCGATTTTTATGCTGATGAAAAGGGTATGCTGTTGCGATAAGAAGTAGTCTCTTTTGTTCGGTGTTAAAATTAAAATTTGTTTAAAACAAATAGGAGCAAAGAGGTCGTTTAATAACGCTTTTCATCAATTATCGTTTAATATTTAAAAATTAACAAGAGAGAAATTGTGAAGAGAAAAATGCATTAATGTACATTGTATCTTTGCAAATAATTTCCAAATTTTTGTTTTTCAATCCTGTAACAGCAGGAAAAAAGAGATAAACCAGATGAAGTAAAACTGTCAAAAATTTCTTACAAACAAATTACCAAAAAACTGTCTTAAATATTTAATATCGTTCAAGAATAAATATTAAAATACCGAAAGAAAAAGGAGAGCTTTAATAAAATAGAAAGCTTCCAGTCAAGGATCAGTCAAGAACCAATCAATCCTTCCAAAAATTGAAACGTAACTCGGAAACGTAGCGGGAAGAGCTTAAAGCCGCAGGATTCGGCGAGAGTAGGACAGGCGCGAGAAAAAGGCAAAAGGACGAGATACGACGAAAGAGGCCTTCTCCGGTGGACAGCAGCGGAGTCGTATCCCTACCTCCAACGACGCTGCTCTCGAGAGCAGGTGGGCTCTCGACGATCTGCTCGAGAGCGGCGAGAGAGTCCCGGTCTGCCGCCTCCTGCGCTCGCACCGGTGGCACGCACCGGCCTCCAAGAGACTCGCGCGAGTTCGTTGGCCGACCGTCACCCGCGCGCCCGTTTTCCCGATCGTTCTCGCCCGTTGCCGGTCGCTCGCCTGTTCTCCATCTGGGCGGACACCAGATTCTGGAAGCCGGATCGGAAAAGGGCATCCGGACCTGAGCGGCGCGGGTGCGGTTCGCCTCGCCTCGCCTCGCCTCGCCTCGCCTCGCCTCGCCTCGCCTCGCCTCGCCTCTCACTTCCCTTCACCCTGGAGCGGAACCCCCCGTACCGAGCATCGAGTTCCAGTCGAGAAATCGACCCGCGTCACCCAGCCCGCCGGCAGGTGCTAACTCGCGCGTGACTCCGGTGTTAGCTCGGAGTCATAGTCGCGCGCCCGCTCGCGCTGACCGGACGCGTTCGCCGAGCTGGCAAGAGGCCGCTGGAAAACGGCATCGTGTGTTTGTAGAAACTTCGACGACTCCGGGAAATTCTTCTGGCTCCAAAATTTGAACTGTTGGAGATTCGTCCGAAACGGGAGAGCTTTTTCCAGTGGACCAAACTTTGGCATTTAAATTTGTAGGAGAGCTCGCTTTTTGGAGTGCGAAAGGAATCAAGAGTGATTATAAATATAAACAAGTTCGATTTTCTCTTTTGGAAAGGATTTTTTTTAAGATTTGTGACACTTCGAAAAAGCTTAAATATTTCTATCTGGAAGAAAATAAAAAAATAGCACGCTTCATAAAATTAGAATTAGTTTTGAGATCTCTCGCCTGAAGTTTAAAAAAAATTAAGAGTGACCGGTAGAAGCTTTCTGGCGGCAATTTTGAAGAGCTCTAAAGCCTCCGGGGATTCGTCCGGAGCGTGAGGCAGATCAGCCGTTCGACCGACGCAGAGCGGAAGTACCGTTGTATCTGGTCTTTCTGGGGACTCGCGGATAAACGGCCTTGACGGCGCGAGCCTCGGCGAGTCTCGGTCTGGTCCGAACTAGGACAGCGAAGCGTGTGTTCCGATAGATGGACGGGAAGATCGAGCGAGACCTTCCTCTCCTTCTTCTGGAACGGCGAGGACTTCCTTGAACGGCGAGCGGTCGACCCGAGGCTTTTGATTTTACGGCATTACGCAGCAGCAGCGAAATCCGGTTTTGCATGGGTGTATACGTAAGTGAACCGTAATCCATAAGTACCGTAATGTCGCGGGTACAACTCTCGCGTTCTCGAGAAACAGCGTTTAGCGCCGACGGGGTCTCTTCACGATCCGATATGCGAGATAACGCGCGGCGGCTTATTCGGCTATCAATTCAGATGAAAATATTGTACTTGTGCAGGGAACACTCGCTTGAAATAATCGTCATTTTCTTCACGCTAAATGCTATTTTATTAGAAATTCAACTGACAAATTTGTTTATGATAATTCGAAGACCGGAATTTCAGGACCGAACTCTCTAAGGGTCGCGCTGACGTCGAGACACGCCTCTCGACGATGACTCGAAAGTTAGTAAAATCGGCTCGCTGTAACGGAGAACCGCGGTTTCTATCGTACGATCCGGTTTTGCAAATCTTATAGCTGCTACTTTTCACTCTGTAATGAGCGGCGCGAACGTTCATGCGTGTAATGGGAAAATACACACTTATGCGTATTTCCGCGTCAGGACTCTCAAGGTAAAAGATATAAAATTGATATCCGAAATGCCCGTATGACTCGGAGATTCTTCTTCGGATATTAATTTAATCCAATGGTGTTGACACACTTATTTCCCTCATAAATTCAACATATGGCGGTGCGATCCCAAGTTTAAAAGATGCAACGCGCGTCTGATTTAACATCAAACTATCACATTCGGGCAATCATAGATTTTACGCGAAGCGTTAATGCTGCGATGAGACGGTATGGGAGATATAAAGTGAACACCATACGTTTCTTACAAATTCGTATTTGTTTGACAAATGTCAAACCGATTCAAGAGAAGCTAAGAAGTTTTTCTGATGCTTCTCGTCCACGACATTTTCCTCACGTTTGATAATATATAGATAATATATAGATAATATATAGATATATCTTCGTAAAACTTGAACTTTGTTTGCGATTTCGCACTTTAGCACTCTGTCATTCCGTGTCCGTCCGTGAATGAAAAAATTGCCGCGATATCGCAAAAAGCATTTTATATGGCGTGACGAGTCGACCTTGCGCGGGTCAGTTCCACGCATGAGACTCAAAAATCTCTCGTGTCGCCTTAAACGTCGACGATCGCTCGCGAATGCACTTGCGAAGATAAGAGACTACGATGCGACTTGTGGCCGATAACGAGACGAGGTTAATGCAATTTCAAAGAATGTTATCTATAACAATAGGAGTGTCGCGATATCCAGCGCGAAGTAAAATGTCGCGGCTCGGAAAATAACATGACGCGAAGGAAATGAGTTTTTAAACAGATTATTGTGTATATAGGAATCTTTTAAATTTAATTCAATTTCTTTTTACTTGAAATTTTCACTCTCATTATAATTTTGCCTTTCTGCTTATTTATTTCGAGAGAAAGCAATAATTAATTAACTATTTTTATTGGATTGTATTTTCCTAGTTGTCTTTTTAAATACTCTTAAAATACTCTTAAACTTCTTTGGATAGTTTACTTTTAATACTTTAAACGCTGACGTTAATGATAACAATTAAAATCTACGTTGGCTCGAGCATTTTTGAGTGAAATTAAAAGAAGGAAGTTTTTATCGAGACTTTCTCGAGACCGATACATTTAACTTGATACGTCGTGTCTAAAATCACCGATCCGATAATAAAAATGTAACGGCTATAAATCCGCGGCTTTCTAATGTTTGCCCACATGAATTCTCCTACTTTGATCGACGATTTACGGTAAAAACGGTGCGAGATAGCGGGAGGACTGTTGCTTAGTCGGAAGCAAGATGCGCCAAACGTTTCTCGTAATTACGGTGGGCAATGAACTGGCTATTAAAACAGTACGTCAGCGAGGATTTGATCGACGTTAAGGAGAGAAGATCCTCATACTAACAATTCGTAGTCGTAATTGCCCGACACTCGGTTAATGATGAAACTTAAAGACGCCACTTACAAAGCTGAAAACGCACACCGCCGGCAAATTTATTGTTTCGCCTGTGCACCCTGAATATTCAATTAGTCTCGAATAAAAACGCGCCGTATAAATGCACATTAATTTTTGTTTCTTTTTTCTCGCTTTTCGGCCTTCACCCGGTTGAGCGGAAAGTGTGTCGTTGGCGCGTATCGCAACGGGATACACGTCACGGGGAAAGGATTCGCGTGGACGGACATTTTTTCCGGGGTGGTGCCCATCACAAACCAGTGACATCGCGCTGTCACGACTATTTGTCATTTCTCTCTGTCACGATATATTTTCATACCTCTGTAAAGCTTGCGCCCAGGCTCACGCAATACCTTGATCAAGAAGTCAATAAAAATGCAGCAGACTGCAAAATCACAGTTCCATTCTTCCTGCCAATTTTGACGAGAGCAAGGTGAGAGATACATTTTCTTCGAATAAAAAAATCTTGATCTAAGAAAAAAAGATTCTATTAAAAAATATTTGGATATATCTATAATTACTCAAATTCTCGTTTAGCGATTGACGAAATAATGATCATGAAAGATTGGTCGATATAGATTCCGAAAAAATATTAAAATGAACGAATTTAGATATACTTATTCAGGTACTTATTTAATACAAGTTCAGTACAATCGCTTGGCGATTGGTGAAATAGTGATTATGAGAGGTTGGCCGAGCCGTATTTAGATGTACGAGGAGACGGTGCGGTGAGAGATTTCGCGACACGAATTTCTCCTCTCGACCGGTACGAAAATTAGAATACATGTGGCCATCTAAATATCACTTTCCCGCGTGGCCGAGCAAGATTTGTCACTTTTGGCGCAATACTCTATAGAGACGGATCTCCTTCTCTTACGCGATCGTGCGCTCTTCTTTCGCTTCCTTGTTTCGCCACGTGACCCAATTACGCCACAGGCCAAGCACATCGCGTACAAATTTGCATAACAATATAGATACGGCGTATGTCCGCAACGGTAAGACGTTCGATAGAGCGAGAAAAACTTACCTGTTGATCATTTCTTTCACCTTTGTTTAACATTTTTTGAAATAAAATATTTTGGCAAATTTTATTTATTTTATGACTTGTGTTACAAATAGATGTAGATTCTTAATTATTACAATGCTAAATAATTAATAAAAATTGGTCAGATAATGTTAATAATTAAATAAAAATTTATGTTTAATAATATTATCTGCAATTAGTGTTATCTTTTAATTGATAAGTAAATCAATTTCAATCGTTTTGCACGAAAGAACATCCCGAAACGTGTCCCAGAAAAAATTCTCTTTTTTGTCGTTGAGAATATTTCGTCGACTTAATCGGACACTCGATATGGAATCTTGTTCCGTATCGACACGCGGTTTCACCTCGATAAAACGAGAGCGACTGGGAAGCGACGGCGCTCAATTTCCACATGTACATGGAATTATGGAAAGGGAATTACGAGCCCCGGTAGTTTACGATATAATCTAATCAGCGTGTCAAAGGGTTATCGTATCTAAAAAAACATAAAATAATCCGGTTTTTCGACATAATTAAAGTTGTTTCATCCTGCAAAAGCCTATGATATATCACGAACCATGTAGATCGATTCCTTTCCTCCGTCGATCGATCAAATGATCATGATAAGAAAATGTCGACATTCACCATCAGTTCACAACATAGCAAATCGTTATGATCGATCTATACCGCTTATTTTTTAGTTAAAATGAATTAATGCGAAACAATATATTTTATCGGCATTGGCGAAACTGCCAATTAATTACGCTTTCCTTTTACAATCTCTCTGTTTTATTTAAATTATTTATATAAAACAACATTCATTATTTAATTAATTCATTTATATTAACTTGAGGTAATCGGTAAAATTAGAAATTGATGCAGATAGATTTCTTCCTAAAGCTATTATAAATCAATTATATAAAAGATCTTATATAAAAGATTTAATTATAATATTAAATTAAATTATTTTCCTTAATTAATGAAAAATAAATACTTAATAAACATATAAAGATAATAATATAACGTCTTGTACTTTTCACTTCTGTCATCTTCAGATATTAAATTTTATAAACTATTCCAGTCTCGATGTAAATCGATTAAAGAAATAAATTTCTTCTCTTATTGTCCTTCATAAAAATTACGTAGACGTATTAATCGCAATCCGTGCGCTTACACTTTCCTCCGTCTTATTACAAACACATACATATGCAAGGTTATTACACATATTTAAATAATTGCGCATCCTCTCGCAACAATAATAGCGTTCGCCGAATCATCGGCATTTTTCTCCATCTCCCCCGGCGTAAACTTTTCCGGTGAACGCGAAGGAGGTCAATCCCAGACTTTTGCGCAACTGTGGGTAATCGCTATTGGGCAACGGGTATTATCGCAAGTCCGCGAGCACAGCGTTCGACAAATGTAACCGATTGCGGTACATCGAAAAGTCGAGCTAAAGAGGCAGGGAGAACGGGAAAGGAGTGAGGAAGGAAAAGAGAAAGACAGAGAAAGGAGGTTCAGGTGTTTCGCTTACTCGCGTAATAAGGAAGAAGCGATCGCTTCCGCGACAAGTTCTCCGACTAGGATCATTCCGATTTAATGGATCTGTCAGTAAACGCTCATCACCGGCGAACAGTTCTAATCGTTCTCCATTTGTTCCGGCATACAGCAGGAGACCGGCAAGCCTCCTCCTCCTAATGTCATCCCGAAGATGGCCAGGGATCGTGCCGGGTCAGACTACTCAGGCCACATGAGCGACACAACCACGTGCAGCTGCGTCGCGAGCTCTCTTGACAAGGTAAGAATAGATTTTATGCGCCTAAACATTAACATCATAGTTTTAATATCAAGGAAGATTTAAGGCGATTTAATATCAAGAAAGAAGTATTTACAAAGTACAAAATGTCTCAACTCGTTTTTTTTTTTTTTTTGAAAGAGAAACGTCATCAAAACTTCTTTGATTGATAATTTTGTCTTAAAATATTAAAGCAAATTTTGCTTTTCAGATTCATAATATTTAAGATTTGAAAATTTTTTTGTTTTAATTATCTTGTTTAATGTATGTGTATATTTTATATATATATTTGACATTGTCATATCCTACCAAGTCATACTGTATAATAAAATCCTAAATAAAAACCCAAAGAAAAAACATATTTAAAAACATATTTAAAATGTTGAAAAGGTAAAAGTATATACTTCTTCCATCTTTTTTACACATGCGAATGCTAAAAAATGTCCGTAAAATGCATTGCAGTGCTCGTTGCGCGGTTGCGGCATGTTCCAAGAGCCGTTCTTCCTGCATCCACCAGGCTCCCGACCACGGGACGGTATCTATATAAATCCAATGAGCGCGTACATCGGCGAACCGCCCAAGCCCAAGGACTCGGCCGAGTCCTTCTACTTGCATAGTCCACACGATCTTGTCTACACCAGGATTACGCGGCTGTTTGGCGACGCCGAAAAACCGCGAAACGGCGTTTCCGCGGCGGAGCAACGCCATGTGCCGGAGAGGAAAGATGAGACTCTGACTGGTAAGTAGCACGTCCCAGATACTTCATCGCTGCATTATAACGCGCGGTACACACGGTGTCCAGAAAGTATCCCGCTGCTGGTCGTCGAAAGTGAAGGGACTTCATCGATTATTCAAATTTACGACAAGTCATCGAATTTTACTTTATTAATTTATAAATGAAACGAATAATAATAATTCTTAGAGATATATTAACTCAAAGCTATTTAGAATATTAAATAGAAGAGAGTTCAACGGTAATAAAAAAATATTGTGTTATTCGAGTTCAAGAGAAACCAATTCCATTGATTAAATTATTGGCGTACCCGAGCCAAGCCAAAGCGATAATTTTGAGACACCTTGTGTATTCTGTTGGTTCTCGACAACCGACAAGCTGTGGTTCCAGGGCGACCTCGATTCGCATCCGATGTTCGTCAGTCTCTCTCTCTCTCTCTCTCTCTCTCTCTATCTCTCTTCCTCTCTTCCTAATATTTACTATTACTAATAAAATCTCAAAGATTAAGCAGATGGAAAACCATTTATTTTCCTTACTTCTGTTTCATACACCATTAATGTATTGATTAAAATCGGATTAAAATCGGTCTTTGGAATTTCAGAACACATATTTTTGATTGGCAAATATTAATTAATAATTAAATTAATGATTGTGTGTGAATGATGTTGATATTTTGTAAAATGTCTTGTGTCTAGGAGCGAAAAATTCGTAATTGATCTTTTCGTTCGTTTTACTTCGCGAGCGGTCAGCTTGATCGCGTGTTTTACGAAAGACATATGACTCGTACGTGGCAAAATTCCGCAAGACTGATCTCGAAGAAAGAGAGATACTTGGGTAATTGTCAGAGGAACGAAAAAAAGCCACACACGTCGCGAGTAACACGCGCGCTCTGCGAAACCGGGTTAAAGACTTGCGCGCGATTTACCGCGGATACCGTTAAGCCGTTACAGTGCAGCGGCTCTTAATGAGTAAGAGCAATAAAAACCGCGATCGATAGATCGAGCGTGCATCTCGGCGCAATGCGAAACGCGCAAAAATCATCGAGGATAAAAAGAATCTTAACTCTTTGATAAAAATTTTGGTTCACTTTGAAAGTTCACATTTCTGTGAAGCGATCATCCGTTGATACGCGGCGTTGACTTTCGCGTTGATTTGAGCTTTTGCTCAGAGCGTCTTCTGAGGAACTTCTCGAGCGTGATATCTCGCGTTCGAAGGCAGTTTTCTCGTGTGCGATGCGTAATATTCCGAGCGAGACTTTGGCTTTCAGTGAAAGTGGACGTGCACATCAACAACGGTGGATTCGTCGGCCGGCCGCATCCTGGCAACGGACACGCGGCGCGCTCCGAGAACACGAGGGAGTCCTCGGAGCACGCTTACGAGCAGATCTGCGTGAGACAGGAGGAGACGAGCAGCGTGAGCTCGTCATCGCGCAAAAAGCCG